TTAATTAGTTGTCAGTTCCAACAATTTATCCTCTAAAATATAAATTTAAATTATATTTGATTAAAGAAATTAATTCCAGGTATTACACATTGTTAGGGTCACAATTGCCAACCTAACCTTAAAATATCACAAATTTTAATGTGGTCCTACTGCACATAACAGTTCACACAACATGGGACTCACCGTATGAGTTCAACAACATCCAAACTAATCTGCATTCTTGTATTAGTACATTTATGTTGCTTATAATAAAATACTGAGACTGGGTGATTTATAAAGAAAATGAAATTATTGCTTACAGTTTCTGAGGCTGAGAAGAGTAAAGTCCGTCTGGTGGTGGCGACAGTAACCCAGGGGTCTCACATTGCAAGATGGTGGAAGCAAAGAAGGTAGAGAGAGCAAAAGAGAGAGACAGACTCTCCTTTTAAAGGCCTCAGAACCACACCCTTGACCACCATTTTTAATCCATTCACTACAGCACGGTCCTACAATCCAATCACCTCTTCAAGGCTCCACCTTTCAATTACCATAATAGAATTTCCTGTCCTGTTAACAGTCACAGTGGTGGCTAAGTTTCTAATACACAAAACTTGGGGGACACAATTCAAGTTTCAGGGAGTTTAGGGTGGACATAATTCAATCCACTATAATTCCATTGAAGAAAACCAGTTCACTGACCACCATGGTTGTGGAAATGTGGAATCACTATAAAAGTTACTAAATGATTATCCTCAATTTCTGCACTCATCTCACTGTGGAGAGATAATAACAAATACTTCGTGGACTGACACTGATTCATAGATCACACTTTGAATAGTACCGTCCTCGAGAGTGGGTACATAACCTCACCACAAAGATTATCAAGACCTGGGAAGACTGAACCGTTACCCACAATAATTCAGAACCTGACAGTTTGTCCTGCACTGAAGTGATAATGAGGCTTCAAGGCAAATTGTTACACCTGTATCATTTGGGTCCTTCAGGAAGCAAACACCAAAGGGAGTTAGGAGTAACAGAAGTATGTTACCGTGGGGGGTGCTATGGGTCAAATGTGTCCTCCAAAAGTTCATGTGTTGGAAATTTGATCCCCATTGGAACAGTGTTGAGTGTGGGACACCCAATTATAATATTCAAAAGGTGGCATGTATTAGTCCGAGTTCTCCAGAGATGAAGAACTAATAAGTTATGTATATAAATATATGAGAGGGGATTTGTTAGAGAAATTGGCTCACATGATTATGAAGGCTGAGAA